AAAGAAATTTCTGACTGTAGCTTATTAAGGAAAGCAAATTAATCTCCACCTTGAATTTGATAAATCCCATGAATGTTTGGTCCACGAAATAGTGTCTTCTTCGTGCAACAATCTTTCACCAAAAAATAATTTGTTGGAAACTCAACATAAACATTAGCACTTTTATATAATTGAGACACAGAAATTTAATTTTGAGGCGGATGGAACACATAAGACATTACAAAGGGGTAGCGTGGAGTTGCCTACATGTGTGACTCAACCCCTCAGGCTAAGGATGGCAGCATTGAATACTATAATGCTTGTAGCTCTGATACCACTAACAGGCTCTGAAGGTGTGAATCAGAATAGGATTTCCTCATTGATAGAATAACGAAGGAAGACTGTACAATTTATATGAATACAAGTACGAGATCTAATCCAACTAGGAAACAATATCTAAGCTAACTAGGAAACAATACATGAATAATATACACAAAATTACAACTGTTGATATTCCGGAGCTAAGGAGGAGATTTGCTTTTCTTAATATAGCTCCCTTTGAGTGTGCTTGAAGAAAGGATTTGAAATTCCGGGAAGCTGGAGGGGGATGTGTGGCGTTTGATGCTTTTGCCTGCAATGATGTTACCGTTGTGTTTAGGGAGAATGTACGGAGTCAGCATTATCACCTTAAGAGGGATAATAGTCCTCATTATACTGTGATTATTGGAAGTCATAGGAATCGTAGATTGAAAATTGAGGTGGATGGGAAAACTGTGGTTGATGAAGCAGGTCTTGGTCTTTGTTGTTCTTAAGCATTTCAGAGTTATTGGATCAGTATCTGTGATGGGTTGATTAGTATTGGTAAGGGAAGATACCCTTTTCAGAATCTTATGTTCCAGTGGCTAGATTCAAATTCAAACTGTAATGTTCGGTATGTCAGTCAGCCATAGCAGTTGGGACAAACATGTAGGATATAGAAATGCGCCAATGTGTTGCCATTAACACAGAATCATATGTTGCTCTGGGAACAAGTGGAATGTGGTGAGTATAATGGATAGGAGGATGTAGATGAGGAATTGGAGGATGAGCAGATGGGCTAGGAGAAGTGGGGACTTGAAAATTTTCTTGAGAATTGGGAGTTATCTGATATGTTCTTTTTTGTGGGCGAGGAGGAAAGGCCAGTCCCTACACATAAGATAATTTTGCAGGCATCTGGAAAATTTCGCTTGTGTTCATCTGATGATGAATCTGATGAAGATGTCATTCAGTTGCAGGATGTAGCATGTCCGATTCTTCATGCGCTTCTTCAATATGTATGTATAGGCCAAACAAAGATACTTTCTTATTTTACTTACTCGTCTACCAAGTTTAAATCCTTAACAAAAAAAGAAAGAAAAAAAAAAGTACCTAGTTTAAATTCTTTATCATTTTCTTATCAGCATAAAATTCTTTCCACCATCTCTTCTGGCTTGTTCTTATTTTACATCATGTTTGGTGTAGATTTCAGAGTCACAGTTAGGTTCCTTGTGGGCTCTGAGCACCCAATTTGAGGTGATTCCTCTAGTGAAGCAATGTGAGGAAGCCATGGAACGGTTTAAACTGAACAAAAAGTTGTTTGACTCTGGGGATAATGTGGAATTATCATATTTAAATTTGCAGCCACATTCTTGGGCAGTCTTTCCCTTTGGGATCCCAATAAATGTGCAGAGTCTCCAACAATTATATTTGACCAGCGAGTACAGTGACATTAGCGTTTATGTTGAGGGTTACGGTTTCATTCCGCAATCTCATAAAATTATTCTCAGCTTATATAGTGTCCCTTTTGCGAAGGTTAGCCGATTTCATATTTTCTTCTTTCTGTATATTTACTTCACTCCTCATTCCTCAATGTAGAATAAATATTGTGACATTAATGTTTCCACATACGAAGTTATTCTTTTCGATTGCATTTTTTATGAACTTGATGGAACATATTGACAGTTTGAATAAGTACTTTCGCTTTTTAGTCTATTCAAATCTAAAAAGATGCATTTTTGTTAACAAATTTATTTGTAGTCATAACTGATGGATCCGGTTGCACTGGTTGCAGACATTCACAAATGGAATGTGTGAGAGCAACTCCTCTGATGTTTGCTTAAGGGATGAGTCACCAAAAGCACTCAAGGCCGTGCTTGAATTCATGTATAGTGGAGGACTCCGTATAGAAGATACCATGGATTTTGGTACCTTGCTACTTCAGCTTCTGTTATTGTCTGACAAATATGGAATCACTCTCCTTCACCAGGGATGCTGCAAAATGCTTTTAGAGTGCCTCTCAGAGGTAGTTTAGTAACCTATATTCTACTCACCACAGAATAATTTTATTTGGTGATTTTGATGGACCATATTTTCTCTTGTCAATATTTCATTATGTTTTTTTTTCCTTGTATGAGGAGAATTTAAAGAACAGAAGTAACTTGCAGTTTCTGACTTCTGAAAACAAAAGAAGAGACCCCTTTTATAGCAATGAATGATAAAAATATTGATTCCTTTCATGTAGATATTATATGCAGGCGATGGAGTTCTCCTAGTGGAAGAAGGTCAAACGACATCTGTTTTTCTATTATAAACAAGTTTAATGGATGAGGAAGCAGACAAATTTGGCAAAGCAATTGAGCTGTTCTTTTGAAGCTAACTGTTGAACTTTGTTGCAGGATTCAGTCTGTCCAATCCCCCAAGTAGTTTCATCAATTCCATCATGTAAACTCGTTGAAGAAACATGTGAGAGGCAATTTGCAATGCGCTTCAACTATTACACAACTGCAAGCCTTGGTTTCATCTTGTTAGATGAAGCAACTTTTCGGAGCATTATTCAGGTTTGCATTCGCTTCTCAGACTTCAAATTGTTATGTTGTTCAGAGAATAGTAAAGATATATGCATCTCTATTTCATAAACAGTTGTCTGGCTCATGAGTTATGTGATTCTTGATAAGAATGGCATTGTGATTTAGTCAGTTTTAAGATGCATAGATGCTAAGTAGGTGCAGGATTCGAGCCAAAAAACATAAAGCACTGGACATAACAAGTTTTCCTTATAATAAACTATGGCTTTTTGCAGCATCCGGCCCTAACGGTTACATCTGAAGAGAGTTCTTGATGCAATTTTAATGTGGACCATGAAAGCAGAGGAGTTGTGTGGGTGGGAGGTAGTGGATGAGCTGATGATGAATTCAACCCCAGAACATCTGTTCAAGGAGAGGGTTCAGTTGGTTAATGACTTATTGCCTTCTGTGCATTTCCCATTGTTGCCATCTCCCTTGCTTAAGAAGGTAATGAATGGTAGGAGACCAGCCAATCCCTGAAGGAATCATATGACAATAACAAATTCTTGACTGCCATTGAATGTTTTTGCAGTTGGAAAATACCAACCTCAGCAGACAAATTTCTGCTTTTGGCAAGCTTGTAAGTTTGCCTTCCTCTTCAAAAAATATGTATCTTCTGGGAAAAAGAGTCTGATATTGAGAGGAATTTTTCTCCCCAAATGTTAATGCATTCTTCCTGTTAATGTAACAAGTGGAGGAGGCAATCGGTCATGTAGACTATGGATTGGCAAGACCAAAGGACCACAAATAAGTTTTTCTTCTTTTATTTATCTTGATTTCTTTAATAAAAGGTGAGATTGAAATGGATTGAATTGCAGAAAGACAAAGAAAAAAAAAAAAATTGGGTCTGACATTTTGTGTTATGTATGTATTTATTTAAGGAGCCATTACCCTGAAGGTTATATGCATTTTTTAGAGACTAACATTATCTTGTTGTTTAAAGTGAAAGATTTGAACACAGACTGTCAAGTTTTAAGGAGCTACTCTCTGTCTTCTTCTCCATCAATCCATGGCGGTTGTTGTGCCAAAGCAGTGCGTACTGGGATTACACTGAACAGAAAGGAAAGGTAAGGTAGGTAGTCAGGCTTATTGTCTCTCTTTCACGAAAATTATTCTAAACTAGCTGGATCCTCTGCGGCTATGTGAATTTAAAGGGGAATCAGGAATGGTTATACTTATACCACACACTAAATTGTTGGTATTATACAAACTTTTAAATATTATTTTTAAAATTTTCATTTTGAAACATTTAATAATTATAGATATTAGGAGTGGTTGACATTTATTAGTGTTTAGAAGATTACAATTAGTTTACATACTAATATTTCTAAATAACATACTCACTTTTATTTTAAAATAATTATTATTTTTAATTTTTTTAAATTACTTCATTTGTTTTATAATAACTGTTATTTTTTTTATTTTTTCTCTAAATGATGGATATAAAGATTATTTATGTATTTACTTATAGTACTCTTCGAAAAAAAATTAATAAATAAAGTAAATTTTTTTGTAATAAGATAATTAATTAAAATAAATAAATAATAATAAGTTTGAAGTTAAAAAAAATTGTTTACTTAAAAAAAAAAGGAATTAATTTGGAATCAACCCAAAGTAAAAATGCTTGATATTTTGGGATGAGACAAATTAAAAAAAGAAGAAGAAGTTATTTTAAAACAAAAAAAAAACTTATTTCTTTTTAAAAAAAAGTTTGTTTAACCTTAATAATTTGTTGTTCGGCCTTAATCATTTATTGTTTGGCCATATCCACTTCCATTCAAAGGTTGCAAGCGATCATGGACCATTATTATTAATATGATGATAATTAATAGAGAAAACGGTAAATAAATGAAAGCTAATAACAGAAATTTTAAATAGAGTTTTAATAAATAAAAAAAAAGAAGAAGTGATTAGATCTAAGGATACAACCAACACACTAGAAAATTTAACACTACCAGATTAATGGAGTGGACCTTTAAGGAGGAGGGTAGATTATAGGCTAATCCAACTATTTCATTCCATAAGCTGACGCCAGGGGGAAAAACTTTACATACTTCCATATAATAATATGTTTGGATTGCGTGAACTAAAGGAAAAAAAAAAAAGG